AAACTACGGTTGTCCTCCATTCACAACTAGATCAGACTGAGACAGCAAACTTTGCAGCTCTGCTTTCTAAACGTTCATCAGACTGCTGAGCAGTTTAACGGCTGCTGTGAGTTCTGTGTTGTTGTGTATCTGCTGTGGTTTGTGGAAGATTTCATAACACTTCGCTCATCCCACAACTTTTCTTCAAATGCTACATTGAGGTTAGTTTGGTGAGTTTCACATGCCACGTTGGGATGGCTGCCATCAGTTTTCCAAGCTGAGGCTCCTTTTTTATTTTTATTGTGTGCCTCTAGATGGTTCTTCAGTCCAATTCTAGATTTACAGCTAAATACATGAAATATTATCCAGCGGTAATTTACTTTGTGTCTGCACGTCTTCACGTTTTGTTTAATGCTAACTGACATATTGCTGGACAGCTTATTAGCAAAAGTGTTTATCACCTGCCACCTTGAAGGGTGCCCAATCGTGTAATTACTCTTGTCTGCACGTGTATCAATATGGCCGCCACAGCCATTCAGCAGTGACAAACACAAAACTGAATATAACCGAGTCCGTTTTGCAGATATTGGGCTGGATTCAGGTGTGATTGTAGCTGAAAGTTATTCACAACACATGCGCCAAGTGCAACTTATTGGGTTAAATCTCTGCCTGATGGAGTCCATCTTGTCTGTTAGCAAAATATCCTATGAAGCACCAATTGGATTTTAATGAAACTCTCAGGGAGTAATAATTTAAGTTAAATCTTCAACGGATTAATTCTTGGAGTCAGCCTGATTCAAGATGGCCACCACAGCTAATTAAACTTAGTAAACACAAAAATGACTATACACAGTAATTTTAGCAGATACTGAAATAACATTTGGTGTGATGGCAGCTGAGAATCAACTTCATCACTTACGCTGAGCGCTAACACATCAACTAACACATCTGTTTTAAAATGTGGCATGCAAAGCAGAAAAAACACTTTTAGTTTGGATTTAGTTTGTTGTTATGAGTGTCAAAAACCCTTAGTTTTATAAAATCCTATGTTTATGCACTTGTCCTTTGAAATTAAACAGCACATTTTGGGACAAATGCTTAAACCGCATATTTTACAGTCAGCTGACATGCAGACAGAGTCCGAGATTAGTTTTTATTTCAGCTGCAGACTTGCATGGTCAGATGAAAAAGATCCATAAATGCAATGTTCAACACGGTGTTGAAATGTTTGGTGCTTCCACTAATCTCATCTCAGATCTCAAAACATCCCACAACTCAAAAAAAGACAGGTCGGATGGGTTCATTAGAAGTGCTTTAAAGATGCTTCCCTTTCATGTGAATCGTTTCCATGTGTTCAGCCGCTCTGCACTAATGGCCCAGCTGGTGCAGATACCTCTCGCTCACAGACACAGAGAAGATGAGTGGGAGCACAACTGAGCTTGCAGTAGAAACACGTGGACCACTTGACACCAAATGCTTTCACGGACATTTTTAAGAGCATTTGTGATCAAACGAGATGCTTCTCTGTTGCTTCAATCTGACATTGATCCTGGTTGGCTGATTAAATATCTGCAGTCTGGGGGCGGAGTCTGGCCTGAACTTAAACTTCTTGTGCAGTATAAATTCAAATTTGTATTTCTTCATTCCTTCATAAATTCACACATTTCTAAAAAAAAAAAAAAACAGAAGAAGATTGAAGATTTGTGAAAGTGTCTGTTGATATTTATTTCTGACTCAATCTTAGCACGAGAACTTTTTCCTTTCCAGGCGAGTAAAAGCTTTAAAAGTTCAGAAGGAAGTCCTGTACGCTTAGATGCTGACTTTGGTGAATCATATTCCTCTTAGTAAAAGAGTTTTCACACATATTTGGATATTTTACCCCAAATGAATATATATATATATATATATATATATATATATATATATATATATATAT